CTCATTTCTGGTGACTGCAGGCATTCCTTGATTGTGGTCATAAGACTTCAGTCTTCAAGACTAGCGTCTCAAACCTCTCTCCATCTTTCCTACATCTTCTTGTATGAGGGGCACGTGTATATGTAAAACAGGCCCCTCTCTCTTATAATAAAGCCCTCCTGATAATCCAGAATAATTTCCTCATCTCAAAGTCTTTAATCTAATCACTCCTTCTTGTGCCCTTTTTCTAAATAAGGTCGCATTTACAGATTCCAAGGATTAGAGCCTGATATATATTAAGAGCCATTTTAAAGCTTAGTACATCCACCTTTTGAGAGTCAGATCATAATGCACCTTTCTTATGTTCCTACAATGTAAATTCTTCTAACTTTCTTAGGATTTCATTTCATATTTGTTATTACCTAAATGTTTATTGGAGTCACTTATTTAAATGCGTGTATTTAGGTGCTTGGTGCTTTAGTGATGTAGGAAGAACTATTGACTTGAGATTAAATACCTGAGTCCAGGTTCAGAACCTGAAAAGTGAATTTGAGAAAGATGCTTAAACTTGCTTAACCTCAGGTCTCTCAAATATAAATGGGGTTAAGCTGTCAGCCTCACAGTTATCGTTGGTCTTAAGGATAATAATAAAACTGCAAGGAACTGGCCCATGAAATGTACTCTTCTTAATGTTTCCTGAAAATAAATCTTTGATGGCAGGGATCATATGGAAATACCCCTGGATCCTGGCCAAGAAAGCCAGTCATTATTTCTTGAGATAAATGAATAAATAATGACAAAAGGAATGTAGTTATATTGTGCTTATGATAAAACATGTCTCTGCATTGGTTTTCAAATGTTTTGACTAGAGCAATGCTTCCCATATCACCTCCACGACTCTGAATTTTATGATGAAGGAAGAGAAACATCTTTCACCTCCAGTCCTCCACCCAGAGCATGTTTTCTCAACCTTGGCACTATGGACATTTGGGTCTAGACATTGTTGTGCTATTGGTGTCCATCCTGTGTGCTATGGGATGTTTATCAGTATCCCTGGCTTCTACCATTAGATTTCAGGACCATCACTCTTTCCATTTGTGACCACCCAAAAAGTCTGCAGGTCTGCTGACATCATCAGATCTCCCCCAGAGAGCAAAATCCTGAGCTGGAAGTCCCTGGACCAGCATGCATGAGTATATTAGAGTTCTCCTCTCTTCAAGGTGACCCTCATTACAGAGCTTTTGTGTTGGGGAAGCCTGCTCAGCATCCCACATCCTAGTCAGTTGTTAGTTTGATGTCTCTCCTGAATCTACATGAGCCCTTTCGGAGACCTTGGGTTTCAGGGCTTCAGGAACACAGTTACTCCTGCTTCAGCATGAATAACAATGGGGCTCCATATCCTACTAGGATACAGGCACACCTTCCTGATCTAAAAACTGATTGCTTTGTTTTCTTAGCAAAAAGGAAGTCTGCTTTAGATTACCTTCACAAAAAAAAAATGTGATTTCTTTTTCAGAATCTCCCAAATTACCTCATAGGTGACTGCTTCAGTAGTCTAGGAATAATTGAGGCACACCTGTCTGAAAAGCAACCACATAAATGTTTCTGTTATTTTTTAGAAGTGGTTGTATTTTTCCTGCAGAGTCTGGCCAATCTCTTACTTGAAAACTCCAGGGCTGATAGGTATTTACTATTATCTTACTAATAGGATCTAAATTTTCTGGTGGGAATCCAGCCTCTCCTGTTCTTGGTGGGTCTCTGTCTTTGCACCCAAGGGGGTTTGGGGAAATGTTAAAGGCCAGTCATCAATACATGACAGCTTCTGGGTGGATGCTAGTAAGCTAGTGATTTACCTGTAGGACTTTGCTGGAAAAATTGAATATAAAGAAGGGGGGTTTCTTTATGTTGGCATTAGTTCTCTGGACATAAAGCTCCAAACTTCTCATAGCTCTCTTTGCCAAGATGTGTGTGTGTTTCTTTCCAGCTTCATCTTTTTCTTAGGCAGCACATTCTCCAAACCTCATTTTGGGTCTATAGTTATACCACAGACTTTCCAGTGTCCATGTAATGGCCTGTTGTTTCCTCCACTGTCCTTCATTTGTTGTTCTGTACTTGATAGAATTCATAATGCCCAGTTCAAGTTGTCCCCCTTTCCTCTGTTTTGTACTAGAACACTGTCTGACACATATTCATAAAGTAAATGTATTTATTGAATAAAGGCTCTCTGAGCTATTGTGGTCTTGTTTGGCCATAGTTCCATTTGAACATGGACACAGTTACAGCATATATCAGAGTCAGAAACTTCATTTTTAATTGGTTTTCCTCCTACCTGTTGGCTTTCAATATCTATTTCTCAACAGCCAGGTAGATATTTTTGCTTCTTTCCAGTTTATTCCACCATCTGTCACATAGAATATTCTGAGAGTTTTTTTTTTGAGCTGGCTAGAACAAGTTGGAGAACAAATATCACATTCCAGTTATATATATAACAATCTACTGTTTCTACAATTTTGAGTCCCAAAATATATTTATTTTTGTGACATCCTGAAGATGTAGAAAAACACATTACACCATTCCCTTTTGTGTATAATCAACTCCTCAGTAGAACTGTTTAATTACTCACATATCTTTTTCCATTGGGATTTGGATGTCTGAGTGTGTGTGTTCTGGGATCTGACGTAGATCAGAAATCTAATCTCAAAATCCTCAAAACAAGATAAAAAAGGGTTGCATTGTCCTGAGGACCCACAGCCTTCCTGAGGGAGGCACACATTTCTTGTATGGACACAGAAGGCCCGCCAGGATGAATTATGGGCCATGGGTCAACTTCTTAATCTTTAAGTGTCAAAACTGATTTTTCCTGTGACATATGAACTGATGCTGACAACAGTGTAGTAAGAAGATAAATGAAAGGAAGACAGTGTGATCTGGTGAGTGTTCTTAACGTAATTCTAGGATATTAGATCTGGACAGGATTTTAAGGGCTCATCTTTTTATAACCACTTTTTTTGCACACAGGAAACTGACATTTTGATAATAAATATTCCTACAATAATACAGGTTTTAAATTTTCAAGGCTTTAAGTTTTCAATAAAAATAAAAAGCCACCCCCCCCCACACACACACATTTAACACGTGATATTCTTAAGAGAATCCTCAGTGCTTTCAGACTCTGATTTGGAATCTACATATAAGCACAGTCCTCATTAGCTATTATTTCTTTTTAAAAGTTGAAGCGGACTTAAATGTAAATGGAGGGTGACTCAATTAGTATGTCATAATATATGTTCTGTCATATGGGAATCCATTAATACCAATAGTTATCAACAGTCAAGTAAGAGGACTGGCACGGGGTTAGGGGTTGGCTTTCTGGTAATAGAAGAAACTTTGTGAAGTAACAGCTAAGGCTTAATATAGAGAACTTTCTGCAGGAATTTAATGAAGGATGTTGATATACAATCTCATGTTGGTTTCAAATATACAACAAGTGTTTCAACAGTTACCTATATTATTAAATCCTCACTCTCTCTAGTGCAGTTACTATCTATCAATGTAGAAAGATGTTACATAATCCTGACCATAAGGAATAAATACTTTGATGAGCCATTTTAGAAATGTCCATTTTCATTCTCACCTGCCAATTGTGTAAGAGAACCTATTACTTGGCTTCTATTTGGACTCTCCTTAATGTTTTGTTTCTTGTATATATTTCTCTTTCCATTGTTCCATTTGGCTTCGTATTTCATTTTTGAATCCTGCAAATTTCTTTCAGTCTTAAAACATGTAAGATCCTTGAAAGATTATTGCAAGAAAAAATATTCTCTATGTAAGTTGGTTTCTTCACTACCTTTAATTCTGTGATTGGAAATAAGGGGTTTAGAAGAAAACAACTTCAGCAAAGAAGTGGCTGTTCCCCGTGTCTGAGACTAAAGCTTATTTGAACTTTATCTCTAAAGATGAGAGACTTTTTTTGATGCCTACATTTTAACAGACATTATTCATAATTACTGAAAGAAGATGGTACAACAAATAGTTGTACCTGCCCTTCCCTTACTAGCCACTGGTTATACCTTATCTTCCCTTCGTCTTCACAGCAGTCTGCTTTGCTGCACTTCTAAGTCGATTGACAATCGTGTGCTTCATGCTTGTAGATGGGAACAGGTGGGCTGTCACCCAGTAAGAGCTGATATTTTCTAAAGACGAAGCCATTTGTATTTCAGGAAAGGAGGATGCCAGAGAATTAACTAGTACCTCAATGATGCTTTCTTTATTCAACTAGCACTTTGTTTAAAGTAAAAAGGGAATCCTGGTTGATAAAAGATGATTAAATATTAATGCCTAGTGAAACTCAGTGATTAAATGGCCTGCCCAAGGTCTCCCCACTATCAAGGGACATGGCAAATTGAGTCACTAATATGACTAATCCAGACACTTTCTTTTTTATATTTTATCAGTGGTCAGAAGCAAAGCCCCATCTCAAGGTGAGAAATGCAGAATTTCTGCTCCTCTACCTATACAAGGCTTCACCTGGAACTGTGATGTTATGCTATGTGGACATAAAAACAACACACGTGGGAACAGAGGCCATTTATTCAGTTTGCTGTATGACAGTGGGGTTAACCACTATTGCTCCACATTAGCAGATGAGAGAGGTGAAGAAGGTAAGAGTGAAACCCACAATAGAGTTTAGCAACTGGTGTGGTGGTGTGCCGTGCGGAAGGCTATAGCTTTAAGGAATAGAAGAGGGAGCCAAATAGGAAATTATCTACTTAATTAAAGCATTTGAAAGACTATGCATTCTACTATGTTAACTATAGATACACCAATGTGTTTTCAGGTTTTCCAAGTGGATTTAGAATTACTCTTCTCTTTATTTACTTTGACCACTTTCTTTTTAAATATTTTTTGTTAATGTTGAAGTTGTTATTAGTGTTGCCATCACTGTCGCACCTACTCTGTGGTATTTACTTTGACCAGTTTCTTTTTAAATATTTTTTGTTAATGTTGAAGTTGTTATTAGTGTTGCCATCACTGTCGCACCTACTCTGTGGCAACTGCCGAAGTCCAGGAGCACCAAGAGGATGGAGTTGGAGAACGGCACCGTGAGGACTGAATTCTTTCTCCTGGGATTTAGTGACCACCCAGAACTTCAGACTGTTCTTTTTGCTGTGTTTTTTTCCATCTACTCTGTTACCCTGATGGGGAACCTTGGGATGATTTTATTAATCACGAGCAGTTCCTACTTGCACACCCCTATGTATTTTTTCCTCTGCACCTTGTCCTTCATAGATGCCTGCTACTCTTCTGTCATTGCCCCCAAGTTACTGGTGGACTTGGTTTCTGAGCAAAAGGCCATTTCTTTCCATGGCTGTGCTGCACAGTTGTATTTTTTTTGCTCTTTGGTTGACACAGAATCTTTCCTCCTGGCTGTCATGGCTTATGACCGATATGTAGCAATCTGCAACCCACTGCTTTATACTGTTATCATGTCCAGGAGGGCTTGCTGCCAGCTTGCAGTCGGAGCATTTTTGGGGGGCACCATGAGCTCAATTATACACACCACTAATACATTCCATCTGTCTTTCTGCTCCAATGAAATTAACCATTTCTTTTGTGATATCTCCCCACTCTTCTCCCTGTCCTGCACGGACACGTACATGCATGACATTATTCTGGTTGTCTTTGCTAGCTTGGTGGAAGCTACCTGTCTTCTGACAGTTCTTCTCTCTTATGTCTACATCATCATAGCTATTCTTGAAACAGGTTCTGCTGAGGGAAGAAGAAAAGGGTTTTCCACCTGCGCTTCCCATCTGGCCGTGGTCACCATCTACCATGGTACCCTCATCTCCATTTATTTGCGCCCCAGCACTGGTCATTCACTGGATAGTGACAAAGTGACCTCTGTGTTCTACACATTGATTATTCCTATGTTGAATCCCCTAATTTATAGTCTAAGGAACAAAGATGTCAAAAATGCCTTTAGGAAAGTGATTGGCCAAAAAATGCCTTCTTAAGAAAGGATGAAACTGGGCCTGACATCTTTTCAACAATGTTTGTCCCTTGATCTTTGGTTTCAACTGTTGGAAAGGCCAGTTTCCCCATTCTGTGGGCAACGAGGCCTCATCCAAAAATAGGGTCAGAGCCCAACATCAGAGGCAAAGCAGTTCATATTACTTGCATTATGTCTGTCTTTCAATCATTTTAAAGTTGAGATTGTTTACTATTTCTTCCAGGGCTAGATTTGCCCTTCACATGATCTGCTATATTTCATATTTTACTCCTTTTCTCTCCTCATCCTAAATTTTATCACATTCACTCAATACTGGATAAGCCATTGACACATCACACCCTTCTTTTGGTGAAAGAAAGTAAGTGCAATTTTCTGAGACTCTTTTTCAATTCGTTTTTATTCCCATGTAAACATGTGCAGATTGTAGCTTAGCTCTCAAAATCATACTCAGTGTAAAAAATCCTGCCTCAGATGTTAAATTCCTTCACGACTTTTTTTGGACATGGCCTTTAATTCCAGATAACTCACATTCTGAACCTCACTAGAATCATACCTGTGTTTCTTCTAATACTCAGCATCTTCTATCTAACATTGTAGTTATTTGTGTCCGTTTAATCCCTCTACTACACTATTTTGTTCCCGATTTGATCCCTTGCATCTTTATTACTGTATTTTCCTCAGTGTAAATACTAAGTACATTTATGTGTAATAAACATGTAAATGTACTGATTGTTTTTAACTTCGACTAGATGCCTTTAAGAGGCAGAAACGATTTATTTCTCCTGCAGTACTTTTGGTTCACTTTGGGGAAGGGTACTGTATACACACATGACTGTTACAAGATCTTGTCCAGAATGGAGACTTTTTCAAAAACAATTGGCTAATATCAACTAAAGTCTGGCTCATGAAATATTTTCTCAGTGTGAAATCTCTTGACCTGTAAGCGCAGCTAACATTTCCGAGGGTGACTAGACCAAGCCCTGAGAGCCAGAGATGGGGACTGAAGCCAGTGGTGAGAAGGTAGTTCCGTTCCGCAGCAGGTGTGGCAGGAAAGCATCAAGTGTGTGCCAAACCCACAGGTGAGGATGAGTAGGGGGAGAGAGAAGGGCTTCTCAGAGTAAGAAATGCATGCAGGGTCCTAAAGAGAGACCAGAGTTCCTTTCACTGCAGTCAAAGTCCCAAAAGGGTTTTGTCCACTCAGGTCAGTGGTGAGGCGGGACTCTGCCAGTGTGGGCTTTGGTTAGGGATGAATGGAATGCGGCCTGAGGGGATGAGAACCAAGAGCTTTGTCCTAATTACTGAGCTGGAAGTATCCGAAGGACATGAGTTTGTCACAAAGATGGATATTAATTCCTTCACGGCTGAGTGTATATTGATTCCCAAACCAGCTGCCTTATACAGAGGGTGGGGGCTGAAGAAAGAGGCAGGCCACTCCAGATTGGCTGATTGCAGTTTAACAAAGGATGGAATTGCTTATGAGACTTGTCTTAGGTGGATGCAAGACAGGTGGCCAAATCTAAGTTTAAATAGAGTCCTCAGTGCATTCAGTCATGTACACCGCCCAGATGGGTTCCACACCGCCTTATTTTCTCAAGGTTATGTCCTTGGCACAGTTCACAGTCTGGGGATGGTGGGCAGAGAGTACATTCCCAAAACAAGGGAGGGAGGTGAGGAGCTTCTGACTGCCTTGGTCCAGGTCACCTGGTGGTCACGTCCTCCCCAAGATCTCCTCCAACAATGTACGATTCAGCCGTAGCCCCTGGGATAGGGCCGCACAGGATAATGTAGAATAAGACACTCTGGGATTAATTATCCAATCATTTCTTGGCAATGTGAGGTCTGAGACTTAGATCAGTAGACGGTTCAAGCTTCTGGCCTGGAAGAGGGAATGGCGAGCCCACAGGGGAGGCAATGAAGAATCCTCTGCTCAGCTACAACCAGGAGGGAAGGCAGGGTAAAAAAAAAACTAGTGCCAAGGTGGCTGGTCAGGAAGCTAAAACGTGAGCTGAGGCTGTGATGGGCAACCGGAACCAGGCAGCCTGGGTGAGCAGGCTCTGAGGTGGACACAGATGGCTCCGGGAGATGCCGTTCCATGCCACGATGCCATGAACAGTACCACGCCTTCCCCCACCCCCAGGGGTTCAGTCCCAAGAGGGACTTAGCTGCCTAAGATCAAAGAGCTAACAAGCAAATGATATTATAGAGATGTAAACTCAGGTCTGTCTCACTTCATAGCCTAGTTCTTATCTTAAACTCTCTCTCATCTTTTATCATTTCCTTAAAATATATATAAAATCAGAAGAAAAACAAAAAGCCTTGGTGTCCTGCCTGTAAAGACTATTAAATCAAAGTCTGTAAAGGAATAGGTAAAGGAAATAAAAGGGAATATCTTTTATCCTTTCAAATATATATATATATGTATATATATATATATTACATATACACGCATATGAAATATATATGAAAAAATATGTGAAATATATATGAAAACTGGCCCATGAACCCAATTTTACCTAAGATGGGGAGTTTAACTTTTATAGATATGACTGTATTTAATACATTTTTAATAAAACATGGAATTGAACAGTTTAGGGCAGTGATTGAAAGGTCCTGATATGTGGTAGCTTCTATGAACAACAAATGAATTATCTGAGATTATAAAAGAAGGTATTTCAGAAATAATGAAATATTATTCATCTTAAAACTCAGTTCAATCGGTAGTGCATGGCTAATAGCCTGCCAATAACTGCATATTTTTAGCGTGTTGTTTCATTTCTATTGTGTTGTGGAATATATGGCACTCAGCTCCTTTTATACCCTGAAGGAATATAGAAAATCAAGGTAGGGGATTTAACTGACAAACAAGGTGTAATTCATTACTCTTTCCTGGAATCAGAAAAGTGCCTCCATATTCCTTTCCTGACTACAATGTAATATAAAATGAATATTCCTGGCAACCGGAAATGGTGTTATGTGTTTCTTAACCACGTTAATTCCCAATTGATTATGGTGTGAACAACTGTGGGTAAAATAGCAGTATTTCCAGAATCTCTCACCTGGCTTTAGTGCACCTCCATATCCATAGATGTTTCCAAGGGGTGGAGAGATGTAGTTCATCTCCGTATCAATAGCTAATCACAGGGGTGAGGGACAGACAGGAGAGGTTAGGTTGGGTGGGGCTCTCTTCCTCTGCAGCCGGCTCCAGAGAGATAAAGACTACTGCTTGTAAGAAATAAACGGATGTCTTAAACTTTGTTTCTCCCTTTGACTGATGGCAGTTTCAAAGGCATTTTGCCCTGGATTTCCCATGGAGATACACAACACATGCAATTAATTACATTTTTGCACCAGGTTATAGGATTACCTGAAAACCAGCTACTCAGCAATGACCACTACTAAAATTGTGTTTAGAATATGATTCCAGTTTATTTCATAGATCCACAGAGAGCCAATATAAAACACTGCAAATGGACTAGTAATGTAAATACTACTTTGTCCTCTGTTTTTTTCCTGAACACATTATTAAGTTAAGAAATCACCCTTTCAACTTAATCAATGGGCATTTCAGTTTTTAAAAATATTTCAATTTTAACTAGTACAATGCCATGAACGTATCAAGGGAGAAGATGTCCTCTTTTCCAGTGGCCTTAGAGAAGGTCCAGGAACTTCATCCCCAACTCCCACTCATGGAGTTTCTGTACAGTTGTCAATAGCACCGTATCTGCTCTCCAGCATGCGGGCAAGAAGGGAAACCCACGGGCTGATGTGCACTGTGAGGTGTAATATGAATCTAGAGCAGCTGGTCCTGGGCACGTCCGCTGATATAACTGGGCAGAACGATGGGCATCAAATAATTCCCATCCATGATGGCCATCACAGCCTGGGCCGAGGGACAAGATGTAAAGAAGGATTTCATGGAGGTGAGCATACCAGAAAATAATTGAAGAATGGAGTTCTTCTTTTTTAAAGTAAAATTACAAAGGCTCCTTTGTGTCATGTTTTAGGCTACACTCATGCATTTGTCCCACAGGTACTTTTGATTGGCATCTCAGAGCTGAGTGTTATAAACACCAAAGCAGAGAGGCAGTGAGCAAGCAGGCAGGGAAATTCTGTTTTATTCTTATTTATTTGCTACTCATACTTCTAAGCGTTATGATGGAACATTCGTAGGGTGACTGTAAAACATAAAAAGAATAAAGCAACTCTAATACTCTAATGTAATTCCCTATATCTGTTCTGATTGAACACGTTTATTAAACCCGCTGCATAAACAAACTTAGAAGTCAGTGAAGGCAAATTGAGTTGACATGAGGAGGGGTTGCTCTGCCCAGGACATCTCACTGGGCCGCACCCGTGAATAGAGAGGGCGGGTATAAAAGGAGCCTTTTGCAAAACAACAAAGTGAAACTATTACTACTCTTCCTTAGTTTGGACAGATTACTACAATAGGTATCCACTGCTCCTTGCAGAGTTGATGGGGGCAGAAAGGTAAGAAGCAGGGAATATCTAGAAGGTTGTACTGGTGAGACTACAGGAACCTGTGTACGAGGACGTGAGCGTGAGCTCTCACATTCTTGACATAAATACTTTAGGGTGAAAACAGTTTCCGCCAAAACAGAATTTAGGGCTCGCTGTTTTTTTCAGGGCCCCTTTCACATCCTTATTCCTCAAGCTGTAGATCAGGGGGTTCAGCATAGGGATGACAACTGTGTAGAAAACAGAGGCCACTTTGTCCGTGTCCATGGAGTAACTGGAGCTGGGTCGGAAATACATGAACAGCAGCGTGCCATGGAATATGGCCACAGCGGGTAAGTGGGAGGCACACGTAGAGAAGGCTTTGCGTCTGCCCGCTGCTGACTTCATTCTCAGGATGGTAGTTAGGATGTAGCTGTAGGACAGGAGGACAGTCATGATGCTGAGCCCCAAAACACAGCCAAGAAAAGTGACCATCACTATCTCATTGATGGATGTGTCTGAGCAGGAGAGGGCTAGCAAGGGTGTGGCATCACAGAAAAAGTGGTTGATGACATTGGAATTGCAGAATGACAGTCGAAATGTACAACAGGTGTAGATTGCCGAATCTACCAAACCCATAATATAGGCAATGGCTACGAGCTGCATACGGAGTGTCCTGGGCATGGCCACTGTATAAAGAAGTGGGTTGCAAATGGCTGCATAACGGTCATAAGCCATGACCGCCAACAGGAGACATTCCACATCTGCAAAGGCACCAAAAAAATACATCTGAATGGCACATAAGTTATATGGAATCCTCTTCTGCTCAGACAAGAAATCAGCCAGCATCTTGGGAGAGACAGTG